AAGAAAGCAGAAGCTATGAGAGTTCATTGATTCATTAAGAAACACGTATAATATTTGCACACCAGGCTGGTATCTGCCATCCTTACTGCAACTAAAAGTAAGATTTCTCAAAGAAAAAATAGTTTATTTACAAAGGAAGCTGACCTATATGAAAAGAAGATATCCATGCTTTGCTATTTTAGAGCTTAAGGAAAGAATAAATTTAAATGGTAATGTGTGACCAAATTACCTTCCAAAATAAAGGTCACTAAAAGTTGACCTTTCCTTCTGAGTTAGAGAAAATTAAAGCAATGCCATGAAAAGCTTTTGCTCTCAAAAACTGCAACTGGTGACTTATGCATCACACTGATGCACCTGACCTGTATATAGCAACTAATAAATTCTAGCTATCATTTTCTTTGGTAATAATAGTAAGAAAAACTATCCTTCAAAATCAACAAATCTCTCATTTTGGGAAAAACTGCTTGCAGCGCTAGTCTTCTAATTACAAGTGTGTGACTGGGCCCTTAACAATACCACTGCCTCTACCGGAACACCAACCACACCATCTGCTGTTTGAGCAGCAGCAATTCTTAACATCAATATCAATTCAAGTATTACAACTTTAACAGCAAATCCCAAAACTAGCAACCAAAACAACCAAACCAAAACAGTTGGTTTATGGATTTCATCTACAAGCCCAATCAACTATCCAACTATCCATACATCCATCTGACAAAACTCTGACCCCCACCCATTTATTAAGAACTACATGCTGGGCACTGTGCAAACACTAGACTCTTCCTTACCTGCAGTAGGTTCTCCAAAGCTAAGAGAAATCCAGACGTCTACCTATCATAAGGAATGGTGCTTACTATAACAAAGTACAGAGTTCGTGCCAATTATGAAATGGGAGCCCCTGTTAAGCAAATTACAAAGCACCAGTCACAAAACCTTATGCATTTAGGACAACAGTCCTTAACCCTGGCTGCGTATTAATCACTAGGGAGCCTTGAAATAATGCCAATGTCTAGGCCTCCCCCCAGACCAATTAAATCAGAATCTCTGGAAGTGGGGCCCAGCATGGATATATTTTCTTAAAGCTTCTCAGGTGATTCCAACATGCAGCCAAGGTTGAAAACCACCAAGTTAACTATTTCCAGAGTGGTATTCCTGAAATCCACAAAATCTATTAGATGGTACAAAGACCACAAAACTCTCCCTCCCAACCACTGCACCTGCCATCTGGGCTGTATTAAAATGATACATCAATAAGGTGTTATTTTTAGATTATGGTCCAATTATTTATTTGTTTATAGCAATGAAATACTAAACAAGAAAGGATTTTGAGGTCATGCACCACTCTTTTTTTTTTTTTTTTTTTTTTTTTTTGAGATGGAGTTTCGCTCTTGTTACCCAGGCTGGAGTGCAATGGCACGATCTCAGCTCACCGCAACCTCCGCCTCCTGGGTTCAGGCAATTCTCCTGCCTCAGCCTCCTGAGCAGCTGGAATTACAGGCATGCGCCACCATGCCCAGCTAATTTTTTTGTATTTTTAGTAGAGACGGGGTTTCACCATGTTGACCAGGATGGTCTTGATCTCTTGACCTCGTGATCCACCCACCTCGGCCTCCCAAAGTGCTGGGATTACAGGCTTGAGCCACCGTGCCCAGCCCCATGCACCACTCTTACAATGCCTCCTCCACCCCACCCCGCCAATTCCGAGAACTAGAGGGGTATACGGTTCTAGCAGGGAGAAAACTGTTGAAAAGCCCTCGCTTTTGCTTGGGAGAATGGAATTGGCAGTGTCCAGGCAAAAAACAGCCTCAGCTCAGTAACCTGACAGGAGGGAACCTTCATAGTTCAGGCATGATTATCAAACTCTTTGTGCTCTTAAAGGAGATTAATTATAGGCATGTGAAAAAAGGGAAGCACTCCCTGAGGAACTCTTCCTCACATGCTTCCCAAGAGGCAGTAGGGCCATTAAAAATTCCATGATGAAGAGGAAAAACAGCCTGGGAACAGCCAGGAGGCAATACAGCAAATTAGTACACCAGCCCTCCTCAGGGAAAGCTGTGATAAAACAGGAAACACTTCTCTCTTTGCAAAATAAAATTATACCACTAATGATAACATAGTCGCCACACACACACACACACACACACACACACACACCATGATAATGATGCATGTGAAATTTCCAATGCTGCCCATATGCTTTGAAAGAAATGTTTCCCTACTACAAATAAAATGGGACAAGAAAAAGATATAATTTCCATTCGAAACAGTTTTTAGTACAGTCATTCACGTGCCTCTTCCCTGCGACCACTACTCCTTTACACTCCTCCTTGGTGCCTGGCTTTTGCTAAATGATCCATTCTCTGCAAAGCCTACTGCCTAGTTCTGAATCCAGTCTCATCAGGCTGTCACACTGGAGCTGGACAGTTCCTTCTTCACTAACCCGTTGCTGGGGAGGAAGACCACTATTCCAAAGGAGTGACTGGTTGCCCTGAGAGCTCAGTATGTCTTCATTCATAGTTCCTAAAAGCTGCATAGAAGTCACTTGTGCTGATCATTTCCCATGAAGCAGTGGTGGCCAAGCTTTTACTGATGTGCACCCTCATGAGTAAAAAATCTGAAAAAAATATTATATATGTACTACATATATATAAAATATAAATATGTGCTACTAGACACGTGTATAATTTAAAACAAAAAAATTTTTGAAGGACCAGCTATAAATAAATATAAGTTTAAAAATTTTCTTCCCCTTTCCCAAAGAACCTTCATGTATGCAACCCACTTGGTATCTACTGCCTTGTGTACAATGTGTAGAAGTAAGTAACACATCAAAGATAATGTATTATTGTCCACATTCTCTCTCCTTTGCTTTAGTAATGGTCTAAAGCAGTAAGAAATATTACCCTAGAGCTGAGTATACCAGAAGCACAGTTGAGACTTCCTTATGTTTCCAAGTTTAGCCACAAACACTGCCAGGCAAGAGAGTGAAGACAGTGATATGGATAAGGAGATACACAAAGAAACAAGAAGCTGATGCCTAGTCCAGCCACAGGATAAGGCTTTTAAAGGAAAAAAGAAACCTGACAAAAGTATGAATACTGATCTCAGCATAGCACAGCTTTAGGTAGCAGAGGTAAAGAGAGGAGGGAAAGTAATCCACTTTCAGCATTCTGACATGATACGATGCTACTCAAATAATTTTCCCAAGTAGTATATACACAGACAAAAAGCTAAAGGACTATTTTCCCATGAATTAAAATCTTGTTGTCCTCCATGACGGCTTGAGCACAACCACCTCTAAAAAGATCTCCCTGCGCCTCAAAGTTAGGGGCCCTTCCTCTGTGCTTTTTCAAATCTTTATTGTAATTGTTAACTTCCATACCTGACGTCCCCGTGAGAATGTAAGCTCCTTGAGGGCAGTATCTAAACAAAGAGGCTGGCTCACAGTAGGATGCCAGCAAATGCTGAATGAATTAATGATGAATAAACATCATGCCACTGAAGGAAAGGCCTTACTACTAGTAGTTTATATCATTCTCCAATTTTCCACACTTTTTTTTTTTTTTTTTTTAAAGAGAAAGGATCTCACTCTGTCACCCAGGCTGGATGCAGTGGCATCATCACAGCTCACCGCAGCCTTGACTTCCTGAGCTCAAGCAATCCTCCCACCTCAGCCTCCCAAGTAGCTGAGACTACAGGTGTGCATCACCAGACACAACTGATTTTTATTTATTTTTTTGTAGAAACAAGGTCTCACTATGTTATAGTCAGGGCATTCTTAATAACACCATTTGTGATGGTCTCTCTTTTCAAAAGACGTTCATACAGAAACACTACTTCTTCAGTAGAAAGATCTGGCAGTAGGTTATGGTGCAAAATTTATTCTTATAGCCCATAGTACAAGTTCTAACTGTATCCATGGAAGAGTAACTTAGTGCAGCCTGCACCTCAAAATCTATGAACATAACCATTTAAGAACTTATTAGGAATAAAAAAGAATTATCAGAACCTTGGAAAGAAATTCTTTGTGCAACCAGAAATAATAAAATTTCTGGGGTTCAGCCTATTAGCTATTCTTTTCTGCATAACAGCCCTGCAGGGGATGCTACTATTAAAACTGTATTTACTTCCCATGTCACCTAAAAGAATTTATATTTGTCAGGAGTCATTCATTTGACTAACATATGTTAAATATGCCTAACAAGTCTCAGATACCGTTTTAGGTGTTAAGGAGTTATCAGGGAACAGGACGACATCCCAGTCCTTCGAAGCTTATATTCTAGTGGGAGAGACTGGGGGATAAAGTGGGAACAAAAGAGCCAAAGAAAAACCAAACCCCACTAAAAGAAGCTAATAAGCAAATTCATTACAGACTGTGGTCGAGCCATAAAGGAAACAGACAGATAATGAGCAGGAAGTGCTGGAGGTGGCCCCTTAGACAAGATGGTCTGAGCGGTCCTCCTTGAGGAGGTGGCAACTTAGCTGACACAAGCAGCAGCTCAAAGACAGTTTTCCAGGCAAAGGGAAGAAGTGGAAAGGTTCAGAGGCAGCAAAGGACTGCTGCTATTTTTGAAGAACAAAACAGAGCTCCCTGGTACCGCTGGATCTCTCCCCCACAGAGGGAGAATATTATACGGAAGGAGGCTGTAAATGTAGGGAGAAGTCAGATTATGCAGGGTTTTGCAGGTCATGCCAAGGAACATTAATAATGTTCTTTGAAGATGGGGCTTTTAGCAGCAGAAATAAAATGAAATATGAACTAGAAGACTTAGGTCAAAGTTAAGTATGAGACTTAATCACATACTAGCCTTGTGACCACAGGAAAGATACTTCACTGCTCTGCCTCAGTTTCTACATCTGTAAAACATCTATTTACCTCAAAGGATTGTTGTCAGGATCAAACTGGATACTGTACACAAACAGACTTTATAATTTGAGGTGTTATAGAAAGGAATATAGTACTGTCCAGAAGAAAATAACAGCTACTAAAAGACAATTACCTGGCAGAGCAGTGTGCTGGTGAACACCTTCGGTGAGAAGCATCGGCAAGAACATCCAGGGAGTAAAGGGGAGACAGAGGATTGAACTGCAGGAATAAATAAGACTATTTTAGTAAGGCTTACATGAAACAGACCTGATCCTAAAGGGTAACCTACACTTTGATTACTTTTCTGCTTTGACCAACTCTTTTGTCATATCAAACGTAGACACTGGTCAGTAAAGTCACACATATTTGATAGGGTGCCTGTGAATGTGCCAAACCTGATCTAGCACACCTCAAAAAAAAAAAAACAAAAAACTATTCCTTGTTAAACAACTTTTCAAAAACTTCTGATATACAATAGTCACTTAAATGGCAAAAGACAGTATTTTCCAAGTGATATAACAAGAACTTGTGCCTGATGATTATCAACTGTGTATCAGCCCTTGTTTCCAAGATTACCATGAAATTACCTTTCCATTTCCTTATCCTGGCAAATGATTCCAAGAATAACTGGTTGGCACAACAGCAGCATATTATAGTGGAAAAAGAACTAGACTAAGAATTAGAATACCTTTTAGTTCCAATCCACCACTAAGATACTGAGCGTCAAAAATCATATAACCTCTGAGCTTTACTATCCTCATCTGTTAAATGAATATATCACTATCTGTCTTACCTATATTATTTTTTTTAGAGACAGAGTAGCGCTCCATCGCCCAGGCTGGAGTGCAGTGGCGCAATCTTGGCTGACTGCAACTTCTGCCTCCCAGGTTTAAGCAATTCTCCTGCCTCAGCCTCCCAAGTAGCTGGGATTACAGACGCCAGCCACCATGGCCAGCTAATTTTTTTTGTTTTTGTTTTTTTAGTAGAGATGGGGTTTCTCCATGTTGGCCAGCCTCGTCTCAAACCCCTGACCTCAGGTGATCCACCCGCCTCAGCCTCCCAAAGTGCTAGGATTACAAGCGTGAGCCACCACTCCCAGCCTGTCTTACCTATTTTACAGGGTTATTATGAGGGCTAAGTGAAATATTGCTTTCAGATTATAATCTCAGTTTCTTATTTGCAAAACATCTATTTGACTTCAAAAGGTGGCTGTGAGGATCAAATAAGATACCTCACTTTATGTTTGCTAGTTTCTTTGGACTTTTTCCACAACAAATAGTCCTCTCCAAAAAATTTAGAATTTAGTGCCTTCTGACATACAAAGACTGGAAGAATCCAGAATGATGACTTCAAACGTATTTTATGAGAACACAAACTAAGCAACTGTTCTATCTGCCACAGAGGTTCCAATCTTGGTTCTACTAGCTGTATGACTTTGGGCAAATAGTTTGAATCTTATAGATCTCCAATTCATCATCTGCAAATAACACATCTGGACCAGGTGACTGCCACAGGTCCCCTTGTGCCTTTAGATCCTCTAATGCAGACATGATTAGGGCTCTAGCTTAACATTCCCCAAACTGCAAACTCTAACATACCACCTTCATGACTTTCTTTACCTGCCTACAACCTGTACTACTGCTTATTATTTTTCCTCATATCAATTATCTTTGCACAGCCTTGTCCTTACTATACTTCCATGAAATAACAAGTTTGATATACATTTTTTCCTAATGTACACCATAATACATAACTTAAAAAATTGTGTGTCCATATGTCATCTAAAATCATCTCATACACATACACCAGTTATATCTTCTACCACTCTAGTTCAATTCAAAACAGCAAATTAATAATGAAGATTCCAAGTCTAAAATGTGTATCAATTCAATAAGCTACTATGTCATTTAAAAAAAAAAACAAACAAACAAACAGCTGGGCGCATGGCTCACACCTGTAATCCTAACACTTTGGGAGGCTGAGGCGGGCAGATTGCCTGAGCTCAGGAGTTCAAGACCAGCCTGGGCAACATGGTGAAACCCCTTCTCTACTAAAATACAAAAAATTAGCAGGGCGAGCCTGTAGTCCCAGCTACTCAGGAGGCTGAGGCAGGAGAACTGCTTGAACCTCCAAGGTGGAGGCTGCAGTGAGCCAAGGTCACACCACTACACTCCAACCTGGGCAAGAAAGCAAGTTTCTGTTTCCAAAAGAAAACCCCAACAGCAACAGACAGGAAGCCTAAAACATCTTACCTGTCAGTGTTCATCTATTTTACAACTAATCACCGAGATAAAGCAATCTTCCACAAAAAAAAATCGCAAAACTTTACACATAAAGAAACATATCGATAACCACTGCAAGTTAATTTTTAAATTGGGAGCCCTCTACATAGGCCTAAATATGCCAAAGGCCCCCTCATGGGGGTAGCTAAGGAAAAGACTAGGACGGAAAGGCTCTAAGGCAGGGGTCCCCAACTCCAGGGCCGCACAGCAGGAGATAAGCTGCCAGCAAGCAGCCACTCGCCATCGTTGGCATTACTGCCTGAGCTCTACCTCATGTCAGATCAGCAGCCACATTAGATTCTTATAGAAGCACAATCCCTACTGTGAACTGTACATGTGAGGGATCTAGGTTGCATGCTCCTTACGAGAGCCTAATGCCTGGTGATCTGTCACTGTTTCCCATCATCCCCAGATGGACTGTCTAGTTGCAGGAAAACAAGCCCAGGTCTCCCACTGATTCTACATTATGGTGAGTTGTATAATTATTTCATCATATATTACAATGTAATAATAATAGAAATAAAGGGCACAATAAATGTAATGCATTTGAATCATCCCAAAACCACCTCCCTCACCACGTCCCTGACCTGGGTCCATGGAAGAACTGCCTTCCACAAAACTGGTCCCTAGTGCCATCAAGGTTGGGGACCACTGCTCTAAGGCTTTGACCCCACTTCACCCAAAGCAGCTCTACCTTCTGCTTCATGCATTTAGGCTTCAACATAGTACTTCTCAATGCAGGATTCTGACGTTGAACTAAACTGTACGCAAATGAGATTCATTCTGCATTCATACCGAACAAGTTCAAAACTAAAATAAAAACAGGATTCCTATGAAATACATGCTACAAGAAACTAATGATCACAGTTGAACCTAAAAAAAGAAATTAGCTGCAGTGTTGACCAGTAAGTGTTGGATACTCTTAGAAAACCGTTCTCCAAGAAAATCAAAATAACAAGAAAGAGGAAACCTTACCTCATGTGTACAAGCAGAAATGTGAGGAAAATTAGAAGCCAACGCTTTATTCTTTCTAAAGAAAAGGAAACCAAATGATAAAATAAAGATGACAAAGAAAAATGATCTTACCTGATTTCGTTCTCTTTTCTCAGCTGATGGTAACCAGAAACTAAAGAGAGGGAGAGAATAACAGGAAAGAAAACAATAAAAGAAGTGGTAGGAAAATTACAGAAAGGAGAAGAAGATAAGATGTTGGAATAATGAAGACAAAGAAGGGAATGAAGAAAAGATGCAATCAGAGGAGAAAGAGATTAAATGTATGTGAACACTTTGCTAAAAAAAAAAAAAAAAAAAAAAAAAAAAAAAAAAAAACCCTCTTCAAAGGAAAAAGGCTTGCAATGGAATGTAAAAGACCGGACAACAGAAATAAACCCAAGACTATAGTGTGACAGCAATACCCTCTCAGCTGTGCCTGACAACAGGAGCCTCAACTCAACAAGGGCATAAACCACACCCACGCTTGTATTTTGTATGTTAAAATTACCCCAGTCTGGATGTGTACAGGATCGTAACTGGGTACTGAGCATGATGCATACAGGAAAGACGAAAAAACCAACCATGTTAGGGGACAAGGCTGTCACAGGAAGTGGCAGAATTATTTTCCTGTGGCTACATACAGCCTTCCTACAGCACTCACCACAGTAATTAGGACAAAAAGATATTGTACAGGTTAGGCACAGTGGCTCACGCCTATAATTCCAACAATTAGGGAGGCCAAAGTGCACAGACTGCTTGAGCCCAGTAGTTCAAAGCCAGCCTGGACAACATGGCAAAACCCTGTCTCTACAAAAAATACAAAAACTAGCCAGGCACAGTGGCACGCACTTGTATTCCCAACTACTCAGGAGGCCAAAGTGGGAGGATCGCTTGAACCTAGGAGGCAGAGGTTGCAGTGAGCCATGATGGTGCCACTGTACTCCAGCCTGGGTGATAGAGCCAGACCCTGTCTCAACAAAAAGAAAGATGAAAAAAAAGAAAAGATATTTTCCTATAAAAAGGTCTAAAAATGGGAAGAGAATATAGGAGGACAGAGGCAATCATACATTTTGGAAAAAAAATTTAGAGACAGAAAAATTAGTCTAAAATAAACATCCTTACTGGAGTCTACTAAATGCAGCATCTGTAGGTATAAAAAAGCAATACAATGAAACTAGTCTTGAAAAGAAAAGAATATCACGGTCACAGGTTTAGGATGTTGCCATCTTTAACTGTTATAAAGTACAAATCTTTAAGATCTCTTTTAGCTCTGAAGCCTGATTTCTAATTTGCTCCATAAGACTCCCCTCCACCTCCTCCTCCAAGGAGAAACTAGCGCAGCCAGTAAATACATAAGCACTTACTCTTTCTGCCGAGGGTCACTAGTGATATGGTTTATCCTCTCCGTACCCAAGGTGTTTATGCTGGTCTCCTAAAAAGACAGAAGCAGACAAGAGTAACATCCAACCACAGAAACAAACATAAAGCACAATGTGTCACCTAGCTCAATTTTTCCCATAACTGTGCCAGCCAAGGCAATCTGAAAAGGCACATGTCAAAAGCGAATCTTAAAATAAAACAGCAACTATGTCTCTTTTTATTGGAATCTATCTTAAAAGTATTACATGTTATCCTAATTTATTATTCTCTAGTGATCCAGAAGTTTTTATAAACACCATTCGCCATATATGGCATTTTAATATAGTAAGTAATATACCTCCTGGAACTAGTGAAGTATATAGGAGTAAAAATATTGTTTTAGCAAATACAACAGTAGCCAATTTTTAACAGGCCAGCACACCAAGCTCCCTAGAGCTATGTGATTATAGTTCCAACAGTCTTCATCCTGGGACATAACCAAATCCTCACTGGTAAAACATAAATATCTGCTGACTAAATATAAATACATCAGAGGACTTTTGTGACTTGCAAAAATTGTTACTCTGTACTTTGTCCCTCAAATGTCATCTCATGAAATAAAAATAGAAGCTTGTATAAAATTGATTCCAAAATTCAGGGTTCTCAAGATTACAGTGTAAAAGCTTACCCATTAACACCACAAACAATTCAGAAACCAACCATTTCCAAAAAATTGGAAAATGGCCATTCACTCTTCATTTAACTTGAGTACATTCACAGTGCTTATCTACCATGGCCCCTGGGAAGGCATACCAACATACACCTCAGTAACTGTCGTGTTGAGAGAACACAAGTCACAGGCATGAACGTCAAGAACGTCAAGGCTGTTCTTCAAACCCATTTGTGTCTGGACAAATGTTATTACCTGTATTTATCTATCTGTGTGGACTGTCCTAAACATCAGGTTACACATTTCAGCAGAACAACTGGCTATAGAAAAATGAATCTGAGGCCAGAGTCTGGGCAGGAGTGGAGTTAAATGCGAAATTTTCATATACTGTATTCTTCATATTCTGCATCCCTTATGGCTATGCCTACTGATCACAGACACAGACATGGTAGGGGGGCCAACGGAAAAGATGGGTGAAAAATGAGCTATTTGTTACAGCAGAAAAATTATTAACTTAAAGTGCCGTAATGTTTAAATTTACAGTTTATTACTGTGTAAATTACAAGCAGTACTTTGTGTAATTAGCAGCTCGCTGGCAGGGAGCTGTGAATGAAACTCATTATTTATGATTACAATTTAGAAAAGCAGAAGAGAGATGGGGGAGGGGGAAGAAGGGGGGTAGAGTGGTGACCTCTGCTAGAAATGATAAATATCCCTTTAAGGTGATGAAGATGAATTAAACAAGTAAATATTATCCTATTCATTTGAAATCATTAGAGGCACGTCCAATAGGCCTGGAGTGGCTTGCCTGCACGGAAGCAGAAGGCTCTCGTTTTATAAAAGCTGAAAAAAAGTAACATAGGTGGCAGCGGGAACATTATCTGTCAAGCCTAAACGATAAAAAGTAAAACCCTTTCCTTCCTCCACCCCATGACTGCTATTCTGCTAGCTATCCTGTTAACAATAAGCTCCTGGAATAGCAAAAGCAGTATTCTGTCTATAAACGAGTAATCAGAAAGGTATCAGTCTTCCAACAATCAACTGTCTTTCTAATTCAAGATTTGAACTTGAGGCCAGGCACGGTGGCTCATGCCTGTGATCCCAGCACTTTGGGAAGCCGAGGCCAGCAGATTGCCTGAGGTCAGGAGTTCGAGACCAGCCTGGGCAACATGGCGAAACCCCATCTCTACTAAAAATACAAAAATTAGCTAGGCGTGGTGATGGGTGCCTGTAATCCCAGTTATTTGGTAGGCTGAGGCAGGAGAATCACTTGAACCCGGGAAGCAGAGGTTACAGTGAGCCGAGATTATGCCACTACACTCCAGCCTAGGCAACAAAGTGAGATTCTGTCTCAAAACAAAACAAAACAAAACAAAAACACATGGGACTTAAATTTAAAAATAAGAAGAAATAAGAATTTTGAGCTTGTCTGGAAATAAACAGCCTCATTTCTTTTGCATGTCTAAAACTTGAGAAAACTGCTCCCTGATGAGATGATAAAACAGTAGCACCCTCTTAAGGGTAGCCAGACTGTGGCACACAGTGCACCACCTAGCAGGCCTTCTAAATGCTTACCAAGTGAACAAACAAAATGCTCTCAATGCCTCCCCCTTCCTTATTCTTTGCCCACCACCATCTTCTCTGACTGAGGATAAGCCCCTGTCTTAATTTCTCAATCTCAAAGTGGAGTAAGAAATAAAATTAAATAAACAAAAATTTAAAAAGATAAAAAGTAAATCTGGGTTCAAATCTCTTTTCTGCCACTCATATCTGGGTAACATAAGACATTCCTTAACGTCTTCGAACCTAAGTTTTCCTCACCTACTAAAGGGAGCTTGCACTTTTTCTACAAGGTTGCTGGAAGAATTAAATGAGCTGAGTGCCTAGCACCATCCCTGGCAAAGGCAGAACTGAATAAACAGCAATAGTTCTCCCTCATGGTCAAGGAGGGGCTCTTGAAATTCAATAGCAGATTTTTTTTTTTTTTAATGAATTCTAGGATGAAAGACCAAAGTTAGGAAAGAACAAAGATGCATTCATGAATTCACGAGGAGTCATAAAGAAGCCAAGAGTATTTTAACTTACACAGTAATAACATAACATTAATAAAAAGTTACAAAAGAGACAGATAAGCTTGTAGTTCTATAGGCAAAAGATACTGTAATGACAGTGTTTTCTTCATCAGAACTTCTGTATGAATTACATTTCATATTTGATTTGTATATCCGTTCACATTCTATATAATGTTCACTCTTGTAAACTGCCAACACCTTCCAGTTGGCTCCACTAATGTCAGGGAGTTCTGTAGCACCTCTGATTGTTAATAGGGTATACAACTCCCACAGGGAATATTATCTCCCCACTGAGCCCAGTAAACTGTGAGAGGTATCACCTTCCCAACCAGCCTTCTTCGCCCCTTTCTGAGGCATCGAGCTGCCGCTCCAGGCAGACGATTCAAGCGAGCATGGTACCCTAAAAAAAGAAGAAAGGCTTCAGATACTGAATGCAGAAAATCCATAAGCAATCATATGTTTCTAGTACACTGAAGTCTTTACCCCCAGGATCTTACTAGACTGACCTTTAAACTAGTATTACAGAGCTATCTGCCAAGGATTTCTTATTCCCATGTCTTTGTCACTAGCAGTATGATCACAGGCATGCCATTTACCTTTGACCTAGGCATCCTCCATCTATAAGAGGGACAATCACTCAGTCCTACCTTACTGGGCTGTTTTAAAGACCCAATGAAATAGCAAGTAGAAGGGACTTTATAAACTGAAAACTCTACATAAATATAAGGTACTACTAACAATGTTTAATTTTAAATTAAATGTTAGTTTCTACGCCAAAAACATTCTAATTCATGATAGCATGGGGAAAATAGCATGCATCAGATAACCCAACTTTTCTCACTGCCACATGTGTTCTACACAAGGTAAGAACAACTGGAGGAATCCATACCAAAATGTTATTAAGGACATTGTCTCTGGATATGAGATTACAGGCCATTTTAAGTTTCTTCTTACTATTCCTGCTTATTTGTGTATATTTTAAGTGATCCATTAAAAATGTCTGGAAATGTTTATCGAAATGTTCAGTAAAGCAATGTGTGCCTCAACCGGTCTTTACCAAGAACCAACTGCTGTGAGATGGCCTTTCAACCACCCAAATTCACCATGACAAAAGCCTACATAATACAAGTTTACATCTCACAGTGTGATTCTGATCACCAACAGATGTTCAACAAAGTACTAGTGACTGACTGACTGGTTGATTATGGAGTTACTGGGAACCCTAGAATCATAAATGTATAGCGCTAGAAGAAATGGTTTAGTCCAATGTCACATATCTTAAGTGATGACTGACATCCCAAGAAAATGAAGTGACTGTCACAGAGCATGGCAGACAGCACCAGAATATTAACACCACATTTTCATCTCTCTGTCCTAGGTTCTTTCCAGCCACTCTGTACATCATAATTGAAGAAAAAGCAAAGGGAAAATGAAACACCTTTGTTTTAAAGTCCCCAATAATAGGGTCATTAAAATAAAACTACTTAAATTATTTTAAAAGCATCCATTTTAAAAACACTATTATATGTGAATGCTCTTACTGAAAATAAAAATATGTATGCAAATGTTCTGATTGAAATCTGTTCTCTTCCAATATCTGATACTCAATAACCTATCAGTTTCAAAGCAGCTGTCACATGACGCTAAGCTCCCTAAATCTGGCACAAATAGCAATGGCAAGCTGAAGGAATGTCCTGCTAATCTATGTCCCAAGAGTCTCCATGGATTCGTTTAGGAAGGAATGGAGAGAACCTTAAGCTTTGAGAATTACTCTGAATCTCCTAGAAAATCCTGCATGTCCACAATGCAGACAGTTAATGTGTGCTTGAAGGCATGAGTATGCTTGCTATGTGATGATTGCTCTGCCCAAATAGAACCATAAAAGCATGAAGTTCTTAGTCGCCTCAGAACTCACCTCTTTGAGCTGGCCGAGAAGGTAAAAGGAATGTGGAATCTGAAAATTTATCCAATCCAGAATCCATTCTTTCTACTTCAGAGCAATGATCAGGAGCCCACTTGGGCAGAAGATTAGGGACAGTGAATCCTGGTACACATTCTCCTTCATAGAACCAATCACTCTGCTCGTCATCACCTAAAGTAAAGAGATTATACCATAAGCTACAATTTTAAACAAGGTCTGAGAAAACAAATGGGAGGGATGATTTCTTTGTGCTATAGTTTTGATCATCCTTTTTTTTTTTCCTTTTTGAGACAGGGTCTTGCTCTGTTACCCAGGCTGGACTGCAGTGGCACAATCACATGCTGAGGCAATCCTCCCACCTCAGCCTCTCAAGTGGTTGAGACCCCAGGCTCATGCCACTATGCCTGGCAATTTTTTTTTGGTTTTTTTGAGATGGAGTCTTGCTCTGTTGCCCAGGCCAGAGTGCAGTAGTGTGATCTCCACTCACTGCAACCCCCACCTCCCCTCCCAAGTTCAAGCAATTCTCCCTGTCTCAGCCTCCTAATTAGCTGGCATTACAGATGCCCACCACCAAGCCCAGCTAATTTTTGTATTTTTTAGTAGACATGGAGTTTTGCCATGTTGGCCAGGCTGATCTTGAACTCCTTACCTCACCTGATCCACCTGCCTTGGCCTCCCAAAGTGCTGAGATTACAGGCATGAGCCACTACACCCAGCTTTTTTTTTTCAATTCGTTGTAGAAACTGGGTCTCCTTATGTTGCCCACACTAGTCTTAAACTCCTGGGCTCAAGCAATCCTTCCACCTCAACCTCCCAAAGTGCTGGAATTACAGGCTGATTACACTTTTAAATATATCAAAGCGCACACACACTCACACACAAAATGTTCTGGTCCTTCTTGATTCATATTACAATGAAAACTGAAACATAAACCTGGTTTCACATAAATGTCATACTGTGTTACTCTGGACTGCTTTAATAGTAAAAAATAAATAGATGAAGCTATCACTTACTAAGCCCTTACAACCTACCAGCATCCACACTAAAAATCTATAAATATGTCATCTCTTCCAAGCCCTACACTAACTTCAACTTACAAACAAGGCAACTAAAGTCCAGAGAAGTCAAGGTCAATTTAGTAAACAATGAAGCCAGGATCTGAACCCAAAGCCAGACTAACTCAAAACCCTGAGATCTTTACTACAAAAATGAACTGCCTCCCCTGTACCATTCTCAGTGGTATAAATAAACTTGGGGATTCAAAGTCCATAAATGTTTCTCAATTCAAAGCTAGCTATTCCTGAGGGATTTCTTGCTATATTTGCCTTTCTCATAAAAGGTGAATAAACAATGTATGTCCATACTTCATTTTTTCTTGATATCTCATTAATGGGACAGAAAATCATCTTGAGACTAGCAACCCAAGCTACTGAGGAGAAAAAAAAATAACCACAAAAAAAATATATAATTCCCAGAGGCTTTTCAATAAATCATACCATTTTCCCAAAGCCATATTGTTAATTAATAGCAAAGTCACAACTAGATCCATATATCCAGACTGTTGATACAAACTTCTTTCTACTGGCTACAACGATAGTATCTCAGTTTCCACCAAAGTTTATTCCTGCCAACAAAGAATAAGATAGATAATTTTATGTCAGCCACACCATATCCCTTTCAAAATGGCAAAGATGAAGGAATTTATTACAAGAATATCTAAAGAGTTCATAATGCAGTCATTCTCTAACGTACTCTGGATTCCACAGAAGGTGCTCAAAACATGTCAATCACACGAAGTATGACATTCATGGGTCATTAACAGCAAGGATAATAACTCTTAAATCACTGTGGTGATCTCCAAAATGGACAATGAAAACTGCATTCTGGTGAAAAGCAACAGATATTGCCACTAAGGAAGTTACTCAAAGTGTTTCCTTATAAAAACATCACACACAGCTCTCTGATACAGCAGTTCTCAACTTTGAGCATGCATCAGAAGCACCAGGAGGGCTTGTTAAAACACTGAGCCTTCCTCCAGAGTTTCTGATTCTGGTCTGAGCAGACCAAAAATGTGTATTTCTTACAAGTTCCCTCATGATGCTAAGCTGGTCTGGGGACGTTTTGAGAACCGCAACTCTAAAAGCATCTCACAAAACCAGACACATGGATGAATTGAAGACAGTAATTAGTGTACAATAATTAGTTTCTCTGTACTCCAATATATTAATTCTTTCCTTATTCATAAGTATTCTTTAGGCCATTTATTGAAATAGTATATTTAATTAGGCCATGTTTTCTGATGACAAACGGCTGACTATAATGAAATTTTTTTGGTTCTCAAGCATTCATTCAATATTCTTAATAATACAAAAAGGGACTCACTGAACGTTGTGCGATCACATAGACCAGTAGTCTTCAACCTGGGTTCACTAAGATGCCTGATACAGGAGCTCCTTAAAAGAGCACTGCGAAGAGCTGGGCACGATAGCTCATACCTGTAATCCCAGCACTTTGGGAGGCCATGGCATATGGATCACCAGAGGTCAGGAGTTCAAGACCAGCCTGACCAACAAGGTGAAACCATCTCTACTAAAAATACAAAAATTAGCCAGGTGTGCTGGCAGGCGCCTGTAGTCCCAGCTACTCAGGAGGCTAAGACAGGAGAATCGCTTGAATCCAGGTGAGCTGAAATAGTGCCACTGCACTCCACCCTGGATGACAGAGAAAGGCTGTGTCTTTAAAAAAAAAAAAAAAAAAAAGTGCTGCCAGGAAATAAGCAAGAGGCTGGGTGGATCAGGCTCCTGACCTCTGGCTCCTCTAGAATTTTGCTTTAACCCAATAGGCTTAGTTGTTTTGTAATCTAAGAATCTATGTACAATTTTGTTTGGGGGGGAAAAAGGAGAGTTTTCCCTGGATTTTCAATCATTATTTATTAAGCATTCACTATATGCCAGGAACGTGCTAGATACTATGGTTGCACATAATAAGTCCTGCCTTGAAAAGTTTCAAGGGAAAAGACACGTACCTAGAAACAATAACATAATCTAGTAATATAAAAATAATAAGTATAATACAAGGAGCTACAGAGCACAAAGAAGGAGAAAGGGCTATTGGCCAGAAACCCCTCAGCAAACACATGGCACATTTAAATGGGGTCATTGCAGAGATTTAATGAAGTGACTATTCACAAAGGTGGAGACAGTACTAACAAGGAACCCGACAAGGGATGGGGAAGCACATCGGGTGAGCCACTACAGCAGGAGGCCTTTACCATTCCTACACTTGGAATGGCAAGGGAAAGAATGGTTATCAGAGCCCAAAGAACTGCGGTTAGAAGAGAAGGCTGCCAAACAAGAATGGTGGCCTTCAGCAGAGGAACACACCACTGCCAACTGGCAATCCAACAGAAAGGGTGTCAGGGAAAGCCATAATCTAATACGGTAGACTACATTAGCGTTTCCAAGTCTTCTCTATAATAGAATCATTCATCCATGTCTTTTGCTCTTTGCCATTGGATTCCACAGTACCCTCCCTTTTAGGAAGAGCACACTTCCTCATCCTACTGACACTGGGCTTGGTCATAGGACCTGCTCTACGTAGTAGAAAATTAACAAACATAATTCAAGCAAAGGCTTTAAGTCTGTACACGTGGTCTAGCCTGGGTCACCTGGCATTTACATCCTCTGCCATAAGAAGTCCATGCCGCCTATCACCATTGCTCCTTCCACCTAGGTCCCAAAATAAAATACACTGAATAGATGTAAACCTAACTTGAGACCGGCGAAGCCCAGGCAAGATCAATGGAACCATAGGCAACCCACAGCCCATTGTAATAAATGAGTGTGGTAAACTGTGATGAGCCACTAAAATTTGGGGGCTGTTAAGCAGCCTTACCACAATAAAATCTTGACTAATATATCCAAAATCACTCACCTCCCTCCCTTTGGTCTTCTGCTGATGCCTCCTACAGGCCAACCTCAACAAGAAATTGAAACCAAGAAGACCCACTGATACAGTCCATAAATATGCCCCTGCAGGGGCAAAAGGAGAACTGTGTCTTGATAGATGACCAGCCATTCAAGGAAGATGAGATATCAGGCAGAAAGACCAGCATAAACAAAGGCACAGAGGCAAGGAATCATACAGCTTTATGTTGACAACATTAAGCAACAATGTCACCAGACTGTGTGAAGCTGAGGCAGAGAAAGAGAGGAAAGCTGGGTCTACAGAATATTCTATAATCTTTCTTAATAAACTAAGGAATCCTAATCAGTGAAAAGGCTTTCCAAAGGCCCTAAAACGTAATCTGCTGTAACAAGTCCACACTTTCTTCCATCTCTGTATAATTATGCATCATAACCTTAAGAGGTGTATTGTGATATTCTTAGCACTATAGAAAAGCAAAGAAAAAGAGCAAACATTGGTAACTCTGAATAGCATGTATAACTCATTCATGGAAAGACACCAGACTTTCCTGGTACGAGATAATAAAATCAAAACTCTAGTTAGAGCCTACCTGTACACACACACACACACACACACACACACATAATCGCTAATGACACGTAACTCCTTCAGAACCTAAAAGACAGAAATGTACTCACAACAGCCTCCATCATAGTAGGAAGCTCAAAAACTCCAAGAGGAGTTGAACAACTCTTGAGGCATGAACAAGATGCTGTCCCCACACTTCCTCTCCAAAAATCAGGAATTGAATGCTAAGTCTCACAGTCACAGGATCCCTTCAGTTACTGGGGAGCCTAACTGGATCAACCTAGCCACCTGTCCTTTAACTGCTTAACCGATGGGGAAAAATTTTTGGATTTGGGAGCTAGAAAAGACTTTAGAAATCCTAAGTCCCTTATTTAGATTAAGAAAACCACAGTCCAAAAAGGCTACATAAAAATTTTATTGGCATGTGGCCCCACACAAGTCTAGAGGACAAACATTTTATAAAATACCCTTATATCTAGACAAAGGTTTAAATTAGTGTTTAGGTAGTAAAAATAAAGAACTGGTAATTAACATATACCAGCCTTATTCACAGGACTCTATATACTCTAGGAGTTTTACTTTGAGGAAAATGATGTTCTATATAATATATTCACCTAGAACACTACAATCATTTATAAGTAAGTCTGTAAAAGTGGCAAAATTTTCTCTATATGAAACAAGAATGTCTTAATATCTAAAACAAGACAGTAACACATGAGGCTATTTCTTGATTCTAATAAAAAGAAACTTCACAATGTCCCAGGCTCGACACTGACTACCTAGACCAGGGATTCCCAATGTCTGGTCTACCTGCATAAAAATCACTTCAGATGCTTGTGAAAAATGCAGATTCCAAGGGCCAACTCTAGACCTATTTGATTTCTGGGAGCTCAGGGCTGTGGGGTTTTAACAGTTCCCCAGATGGCTCTCGCATGCCTTAAAGTTTGAGAACCATTGCCACAGACAGTCACCATATTCTCCATGAGTCACTCCTATGATTATTCAAATCTTTCCATAAACACAGAACCAATGTCCCAAAGCTGGGATCAACATTACCTTGTCGCCCTTCATCATTGGTAAAGAGCCCAGTGTCACTGCTGCTACACACACTGCTGGTTTCACTGTAAAAAGAGTAAAACACAAGAGAACTCATCAGCTCCAGTCAAAAACAAAGCACTGTACACTTATTTTGGTTTTCAAGCTTCTCTAATTTCACTCCAACCTATTAGCCAATCAGCTACTTAAATTTCATAGGGAAGCTACAAAGTTTTATTTTCCTCTTCTGCCAAAAAAAAAAAAAAAAAAAAAAAGGAGAATTCTAAAATTTTCACTTATATTTTAAAGTACTACACAAAATCTAAAGTCACTTTGTTAGTTTAGGACTAGGAAACTGGTTACTAAAGCTCAAAGAGGTAATTTCAATCTTGTTTGGTATATTAAACAACACAAATTTCCTAATTTACCAAACAATTTTATTTTTAAATGTTGCCAACTATCAGTTTCAAATGAAGCTATGTAACTTTAAGACATCTAGCATCTTTCAAGTGTTTTCCCCACTTACAAAGAAGTAAACAAAAATCCATGAATAAGAAAAAAAATGGCAAAACTTGTATTTTCCTAATTTACTATCTTCCTTCATATTGAAAAGATACACAAAACTCATTCTGAAAAAAGAAACTGAAGTTAAAAACATAATATTGCTCACAGTTGATTCTGTTTCTTCTGACAGTGTGCTTCTAAATTTGATTTCTCTGGTTCAAGAAAAACTTCTCAATCCTCTACAGTATTAGCTATTCCTTGATTGGAAGTATTTTCTTCCAAGACAGTCATTTTTTTTTTTCACCTGCTCTAGAAGATGCAAGAAACCAAAGCAAGGAAGAAGCATTTTCACCATGCTGTATAAAAAATAGACTCGGCAAAATCCCAATCTATATTCCTGGATCAAAAATCTGAAAATATTTTGTATTTTGCAACATTTCCAAACATCCTGCCAACACTAAATCTTAAAAATGCCAATTAAATTAAGAAGCAATGCTTTCCTCACTCAAGCTTGTCTCTGAACACCAGATGCAAAAGATCTGTCACAGAAATAGTCAATAAAACAAATCCTATTTCTTTAAGTTCTGGGATACGTGTGCAGAACATGCACGTTTGTTACACAGGTATACATGTGCCACGGTGGAACAAACCGTATTTCTTTATAGATTCTTTCGTTTTATTTTCTTTTTTTTTAAGATGGAATTTCGCTCGTTACCCAGGCTAGAGTGTAACGGCGCGATCTCGGCTCATCGCAACTGCCGCCTCCTGGGTTCAGGCAATTCTCCTGCCTCAGCCTCCTGAGTAGCTGGGATTACAGGCACGCGCCACCATGCCCAGCTAATTTTTTGTATTTTTAATAGAGACGGGGTTTCGCCATGTTGACCAGGATGGTCTCGATCTCTTGACCTCATGATCCACCCGCCTCGGCCTCCCAAAGTGCCGGGATTACAGGCGTGAGCCACCGCGCCCGCCTCATTTTATTTTCTTACGCATTTAGTATAAGTTGGGCCACCAATTGTATTGCCTAAGTATTACAAAATTGCTAGAAAAGCAACTGAGCCACATCAACTGAAACAACAGTTAGTGTAAAGAAAGTCACCTTAACCTGCAGCTCCAAAGGCTTTTGCTCCCAACGTTTTACTATGAAATTTTTCATCACTTAGATTGCTTTCTTTGTTTTGTCACACATCTCTGTCTAACCTTCCCAACAGAGCCTCCTTAAAAGCAGAGGTACTCTAGGTAAGCCAGATGATTGGGCATGGCATCTACTTTCTGACAAATATGTCATCATAGGAATTGAGCCTAATAAAACACTATGGATACCTCTTGTCCACTGTTAGCTAAACAGTGTAAACTTGGTACTGACTTGAAAACGGTTTCATCTCAATTGCTTTTCTTCCAAGTTCTGTTTGCCCTTTTAAGGTACAATTAAAGGGTATTGTTTTGAAATTAGCAAAAACTCTCAGTTTTAAAGTTTTTTATTCTATATTCTTATATTTTTATATTCTATATTCTACAGATCAATGTTTTGGTTGTATTATGTTCTGTAATTTGAAACTCAAACTTACCAGTAAAAGCAGAGTCAATGAAGTAAAAACCCAATCTCAATCTCAGTACTAAAAACACCAAGAACTATGGCTCTCAACTGGAGACAATTTTGCAGCCCCCTCCCAAGGCGTCATCTGGCAATATCCAAAAACATTTGTGGTAGTCATGACTTGAAGCAGGGAAGGAGGAGATGGTGAACTACTGCCATTTAGTGAGTAGAGGCCAGGGATGCCGCTCAAAATCCTGCAATGAACAGCACAGCCCCCAAACAGAGAATTATCTGGCCCAAAATGCCAGCAGTGCCTAAGGTGAGAACCCTGATCTATGGTGATGAACAAAGCAGAGGGCTGGAGGAGGTAGGACATCCCTTTTAGGGAAACTACTTGAGAAGAGAGGAGCCTGTTCACACTAGCTGGAAACAGCAGTCAACATCCCATAGAGGCAACAATACCACTTCCTCGCCAGGGCTGGGCCAGCGCCTCAAATGGTCTGAAGCATCCAGATCCAGAAACAATCAGAAGGCAGCTGGACCTTCCGACAAACTGGTAGAACTGAAACTACTCAGGAGTCATACAGTTCACCCTTGCTTGCCTAACCCGGGCAGAAAGATCCTGTCACCATGGAAGAGAGTGATCTCGGCAGGGACGAAAAAGTATCTTGCTCATCTCAGTGTCCCCAGTGCCTAGCATAGCGCCCAGCACATAACAGACATTCAGTAAATGTTATGTAAATGGAATAAACTTGTTCTAGACACTTCTGTTGCCTGCCCTTATATGGCCTTTGTGGCATGTCACTTCAACTCTTTAGTCCTATTTTCCTACATGTAAGATGTGGATTATTGAAGATGTGATAGTATGAGGCATATGACCTCACTTTCTGAACTCTAAAGCAATACACAAACGCAAAGGAGGAAGGATTAGAAAGCTACTTCCAGGGTGCTGAGTCTGTGTCTAAATATTATTTTAGAGGTTAACAGTCGTAATTTCCTTACTGACAGCCTTCTCATTAGAACAGCAATCTAAATTTTATAGGATGCAAACCTATTTTCACTTTAAATGGAAAAACAAAATATGGCCTATAAAATCTATTATTTTTCCTGCACTAGGTTTCATCCAAGAGAGGAGGCACTGCTCTCAGCCAAGATCTGCAAGTGTCTCAGGAAGGGGTTTGGTACTTGAACTGAGTTTATTCAGAAAATTATTAATACAGAAGGCTACTATTAATGATACCAAAAATATCATTCACTGAGTTCTACTTCAAGCCAGGTAATATACTAAGCATTTTACATTCATTATTATGCTTCTCCTACACCCAAACTCTACAAGATAAATACATCAACCTCATGTTACAAATGGAAGAGGGTTTAGAGAAAGTACGCAACTTACCCGACACCGCACAGCAAGTACGCGTCAGCGCCAGGGCAGTGTAGGCCTAAAGTCCCTGCACTCACTGAATGGCCACTACAACATGGATGGCACAGATACTCATCTCATTTACTAAAGTCAATCCTATGGTTCTCTATTCAGAAGATACCTTTGAATTTCAAAACTTTTCATTCTCCTGAAAATGTAAACAGATTAACTGACTAGGGAATAAGTGTTCCTTTGCTTTTAGCTACTTAAAACTTTCAGGTACAACTAAAACTGTAGCTGTGCTTTGACTACTATCCCTTATCAGCAAATAATACATCATATATGCTGAACCCTAAGAAAACTAATTATAAACTCCCTTTGGAAAGAAGCTCTCCCTCTTAATTCCATATCTTGAATTTAAGTAACACTCATCTTTGGCATACTGATATAAAATACACCAAAATATACTCTCGGGGACCCATACTTCACTTGCCCTTATGCTTCCTGAATGTTCTTCCTTTGAAATCAAAGTTAAAACATTATTTTAATAAGCTGAGGAGAAATACCAAAGTCTGAGAATACTATTCCTGACTTTAGCATCACACAAGGCTAGAAAAAAAGTTTTCAGAAGCCCAGTAGTCATTTGTGGTAACCACACTCCAACATGACTCCCAATTATCCAGCCTCCTATTAATGCACACCCCAGTGTAGCACCTCTCACACTGCACCACGGCTGGTCTATATAACTGACCGCATATGGCAGAAGCAATAGGATGCCACTTCTGAGATTAGGTTATACAAGACTGTGGCTTTCATCTTGGGCTCTCTGTCTCTCCTCATCCCTCAGATCACCTGCTCAAGGGGAAGCCAACTATCATGTCCTGAGGAGGCTGATGGGCATGTGGAGGGACCCACATGAAAAGAGGCTGAGACTCCAAGTCCAACAGCTTTATGAGGAAATGAGCTCTGCCAACAGCCACGCAAGTGAGCTTGAAAGCAAGTCCTTCAGCCCCAGTCAAGCCTTGAGAGAACTGAGGCTCCCTGCCAGCAGTTAGGCTATAACCTCGTAAGGAGACTCTGAACCAGAACCACCCAGCTAAGTCACTCTCAGATTCCAAGTGATAAAGTGTTCATTGCTTTTTGTTTTTTTTTTTTTTTTTTTTGAGACAGAGTTTCGCTCATTACCCAGACTGGAATGCAATGGCACAATCTCGGCTCACCGCAACCTCTGCCTCCTGGGTTCAAGCAATTCTCCTGCCTCAGCCTCCCGAGTAGAGACTACAGGCGCGCACCACCATGCCCAGCTAATTTTTGTATTTTTAGTAGAGACGGGGTTTCACCTTGTTAACCAGGATGGTCTCGATCTCTTGACCTTGTGATCCACCCGCCTCGGCCTCCCAAAGTGCTGGGATTATAGGCGTGAGCCACCGCGCCCGGCAAAATGTTCATTGTTTACAGCCAGTAAGTTTTTTATGTTTTTTATTTTTTGAGACAGAGTCTTGCTGTTGTCCAGGCTGGAGTGTAGTGATGTGATCTCGGCTCACTACAACTTCCGCCTCCCAGGTTCAAGCAATTCTCCTGTCTCAGCCTCCCAAGTAGCTGGGACTACAGGCACATACCACCATGCCCAGCTAATTTTCATATTTTTAGTAGAAACAGGGTTTCAACTTGTTGGTCAGGCT